GACTTCCATATAAAAAAACAAACAAAAATAAACTTGTGATCTAATACTAAAACCTAATACTCAAGAAAAAATGGATGAACTATCTATCTAAAAGGACACATTTTCTGCCCTGTGTTTACTTTATCTTCACAACCTGGCAACCATTAAAAAACAAAAACACTGATGATCTGAAAACGTATCTCCATTGCGATATTCTAATCTAATGAAAGTGTAATACAGCAAGTTTGTGTTCCTTCACGCTGTTGTTTGCTTATTTTTTGCAACTAAATCTGCCATCAAACATTCTCATTGACGAACTGTGATGAATCCAATTGTGGATCTTAACTATACTGTTTGCGATAGAGGTTGCTGAATAAATGCACTTACGTAACATATGCTCCACAATACAAAGTCAACATGAACAACATGAGGGGGAGTAAATGGTGACAAAATTTAAATTTTTGGGTGAACTATCCCTTTAAACTTCAGTTTCTGTTGATGGCTGTGTGGGTCCACCAGCTCCCAACCTGCATAAACCAGTATAAACCAATTTAGTCAGCAGGGTTATGCAAGATTTATAGTGTGATTGCGGCTCAAATCACTGGCAGGACGTGACCAGCTAAATAGATGGTCCGTTTACCTTTAATGGACACATGTGTAGGAGCTGTTTTCATTTTCCCAGTCCTGCTCGGTTTAGCGTTCTGTCAGGTATGAATGTGCTGGTGCAAATGAGAGTGAGAGAGTGTGTTTTATAAGCGATTGTTCATAAAACAGGGAATGAGTGCTGAAGTGTAAGATGTCAGTGCTTGTCAAATTTTCTACAAACATGTACACAAGAGTGTAAACCCAACCTTGCTGTGGGGTGAAGTGGGCTTCATGAAAATTGTCAAGATATGTCTACAGCGTAGGTCTTATTTCAACCCAAAACCAAAGGGGAAATATATTTCTCAGAATTGCATGATATAAACTCGCAGTTGCGAGAAAAAATCCCCTCAGAATTGCAAGATATAAACTCACAATTCTGACCTTTTCTCAGAATTGTGAGTTCATATCTTGCAATTGTGACTTCTTTTTCTCAGAACTGAGAATTTACATCTTGCAAATTCTGACTTTTTAACACAATTGCGAGTTATTAAGTCAGAATTGTGATATATAAACTCGCAATTCTGAAAACATATCAGTCTTGTTTCCCCCTCAGAATTGGACTTTATAACTCACAATTGTGAGTTTATATCTCACAATACTGAGAAAAAAAAAAGTCAGAATTGCGAGATACAAACTCGTATTGCGAGTTTTTATCTTGCAATTCTGTCTTTATTTCTCACAATTGCGAGTTTATATCCCGTTATTCTGACAATTCTGAGAAAAAAGTCAGAACTGCAAATTTATATCTCACAATTCTAAGAAAAAGTTTGTATCGCACAATTCTGAGAAAAGAAGTCAGAATTGTGAGATAAAATCTCGAAATTACATTTTTACATTTTTATTTAGTGACGGAAATGGGTTTCCATAAATATCACATATTATTTATATCATTGTAATATGCTGGTTTGGTCAGGAAACTTTTCTTATTATTACCAATGTTGAAAATATTGGTGCTGCTTAATACTTGACAGATCATGCAATATTGAAGACTGGAGTAATGATGCTGAAAATTCAGTTTCGCATCACAGGAATAAATTTAAAATATATTTAAATCATAAACAATTATTTTAAATTGTTATAATATTTGTGAGCACAGTAGTCATAAGTAGCACAGGTATATTTGTAGCAATAGCCATTGTATGGGTCAAAATTATCGATTTTTCTTTTATGCCAAAAATCATTAGGATGTTCCATGAAGATATTTTGTAAATTTCCAAATGAATAATCTGTGATTCTGTGCATCTGTGGTCTCGCCTGCAGCCCATATGTTTTTTATAAAGGCTATTTAGCAGAGGAAACGGGATCAAGTGATCTTTATATTCAACATGGGAAGGTATGCAGCAGATTTTACAATGCTACAACGTAATGTCCCTGTACTAATTAAATAACAAAACCTTTCTTTTCATGACTAAGACGAGACGAGGACGAGACAACACTGACATCAATAAATACTAACTCTGATTATATCAATATGCCATATCTTTGACGAATGAAGATGAGACTAAAATATAGTTTAAAAAAATAAAAACTCTTGATATCCAAAATTGCTCTATATTTTCTTTAACAAAAAGAGGAGAAATAATATAGACCTCCATAAGTTTTCATGTTTGGGGTTGCCAGATGTCCAAAGTTTAAACCCCCCACAAGAGCTTCTCTCTTAAAGGGATACAGTAGTTCATGCAAAAATGAAAATTCGGTCATCATTTCCTCACCCTAATGTTGTTCCAAACCTGCATGAGTTTCTTTCTTCAGTTGGGCACAAAAGAAGATATTTTGAAGAATGTTGGTGACCAAGCAGTTGACGGTAGCCATTGACTTCCATATAAAAAAACAAACAAAAATAAACTTGTGATCTAATACTAAAACCTAATACTCAAGAAAAAATGGATGAACTATCTATCTAAAAGGACACATTTTCTGCCCTGTGTTTACTTTATCTTCACAACCTGGCAACCATTAAAAAACAAAAACACTGATGATCTGAAAACGTATCTCCATTGCGATATTCTAATCTAATGAAAGTGTAATACAGCAAGTTTGTGTTCCTTCACGCTGTTGTTTGCTTATTTTTTGCAACTAAATCTGCCATCAAACATTCTCATTGACGAACTGTGATGAATCCAATTGTGGATCTTAACTATACTGTTTGCGATAGAGGTTGCTGAATAAATGCACTTACGTAACATATGCTCCACAATACAAAGTCAACATGAACAACATGAGGGGGAGTAAATGGTGACAAAATTTAAATTTTTGGGTGAACTATCCCTTTAAACTTCAGTTTCTGTTGATGGCTGTGTGGGTCCACCAGCTCCCAACCTGCATAAACCAGTATAAACCAATTTAGTCAGCAGGGTTATGCAAGATTTATAGTGTGATTGCGGCTCAAATCACTGGCAGGACGTGACCAGCTAAATAGATGGTCCGTTTACCTTTAATGGACACATGTGTAGGAGCTGTTTTCATTTTCCCAGTCCTGCTCGGTTTAGCGTTCTGTCAGGTATGAATGTGCTGGTGCAAATGAGAGTGAGAGAGTGTGTTTTATAAGCGATTGTTCATAAAACAGGGAATGAGTGCTGAAGTGTAAGATGTCAGTGCTTGTCAAATTTTCTACAAACATGTACACAAGAGTGTAAACCCAACCTTGCTGTGGGGTGAAGTGGGCTTCATGAAAATTGTCAAGATATGTCTACAGCGTAGGTCTTATTTCAACCCAAAACCAAAGGGGAAATATATTTCTCAGAATTGCATGATATAAACTCGCAGTTGCGAGAAAAAATCCCCTCAGAATTGCAAGATATAAACTCACAATTCTGACCTTTTCTCAGAATTGTGAGTTCATATCTTGCAATTGTGACTTCTTTTTCTCAGAACTGAGAATTTACATCTTGCAAATTCTGACTTTTTAACACAATTGCGAGTTATTAAGTCAGAATTGTGATATATAAACTCGCAATTCTGAAAACATATCAGTCTTGTTTCCCCCTCAGAATTGGACTTTATAACTCACAATTGTGAGTTTATATCTCACAATACTGAGAAAAAAAAAAGTCAGAATTGCGAGATACAAACTCGTATTGCGAGTTTTTATCTTGCAATTCTGTCTTTATTTCTCACAATTGCGAGTTTATATCCCACAATTCTGACAATTCTGAGAAAAAAGTCAGAACTGCAAATTTATATCTCACAATTCTAAGAAAAAGTTTAATTCTGAGATACTCTTACCTGACTCGTGCAGGATTCTTGCTCTATGTCGGGTCCACCCTTTCTCTGGCTGTGGTGCCTCCATTGTCCTAACACTCTTCAGCAACCTGTCAAGATCTTTATATGGTGGCCACCAGGAGTAGCCATCTGCATACCAGGACTTGGCAGCTGGTCCAGTCGTCCCTTCTCCCTCAAACTCCACGATTAGGTAAATTTTTTTTTTTTTTTTTTTTTTTTTTAAGCATGCATTAAATTGATCAAAAGAAATAGTAGAAATGCTACAAAAGATTTCTATTTGAAATAACTGCTGTTCTTTTGAACTTTCAATTGAACAAAGTATCCTGAAAAATGTATAATAGTTTCCACAAAAATATTAAGCAGCAAAAACTGTTTTCAACATTGATAATAACAAGAAATGTTAATTGAGCACAAAATCAGCATATTAGAATGATTTCTGACAGATCATGCAATATTGAAGACTGGAGTAATGATGCTGAAAATTCAGTTTCGCATCACAGGAATAAATTTAAAATATATTTAAATCATAAACAATTATTTTAAATTGTTATAATATTTGTGAGCACAGTAGTCATAAGTAGCACAGGTATATTTGTAGCAATAGCCATTGTATGGGTCAAAATTATCGATTTTTCTTTTATGCCAAAAATCATTAGGATGTTCCATGAAGATATTTTGTAAATTTCCTACCGTAAATATATCAACACCTCATTTTTGATTAGTAATATGCATTGCAAAGGACTTAATTTGGACAACTTTAAAGGCGATTTTCTCAATTTCTCAAATTTTTTTTTCAGATTCCAGATTTTCAAATAGTTGTATCTCGCCCAAATATTGTCCTATCATAACAAACCATACATCAATGGAAAGCTTTGAGATGATGTATAAATCTCAATTTCACAAAATTGACCCTTATGACTGGTTTTGTGGTCCAGGGTCACATTTCACAAAAAATGCATTTATTAAATGAATTTAATCAAATAAACTTTTGAATGGCAGTGTAATTACTTTTCATTCTTTTTCTTCTCATTGACCCAGACATTTTTTTCATAAGATTCACACAGCGTACAAAATAATATATACATTACAAACACACACGAGGGTTGGATAGGAGAGCCGTAATAGCAGTGTGTTTGTGTGTGTGAATGACTTACGCTCTTGGAAGGTAGTGAAGAGTATCCGGAAGCGGCTCTTTCGGCTGCCCTCATCGGCCCACATGCGGACCACGCCCAGCGCGGACACCAGCATGACGTCATTGGCCACCGTGCTGCAGAATTTATTCCTCAGGTCTTCCACCGAGCTGCTGCCGTCGTACACCGCCACAAAATTACGCTTACACTCATTGGAGTTCTGCATCTCGTAGTCTAGGAAACGCAAGTAGATCTAAGAGAGAGAGGAAAAGAGCAAAACAGACTCTCACATACATTGAAAATCTATTATTTCTAACACACCGAGAACTCGATTTCCACAAAGAAAATGGACACTTCTGTCGAAATAATCTTTTTTTTTTCCTTCAGTGGTTTCAATGCACCCATCCCAGCTGTCATATCAGTGACATCTAGATTACCTGATAAACTGTGTTTGCTTTAACAACAGATCTCTGTAGTCAGAAAAGCCTCGGCTTGATGATAATTGCACAGAAAGATCAATAACAAGAACACAGAGGGTTATGTTTGAAATTCAGCTCGTACACAGAATTGAGAAGTTTCAAAAAGTTGCAGTGATGAGCTCTCAAAGCATGGCAATAAACTACATCCACTCACACCAGCTCCTTTGGGCTCTCTAAAAACCAGAGAGGTGTTAGAGCGAACCATCTGTTCTCTTCTCACTCAGTCTAACCCTAATCAAGCTTACTTCACACCTCTCCTCATCCAGACTCCCATTTTCACCATTTGAAATATTAGAAAATTCTGTCATCATTTATTCACCCTCATGTCTTTCCAAACCTCCATGACTTTCTACTTTCCAAACGAAAGGTGAATAAAAAAAAAAATTAAAAAAAAAAATTAATAAATACTAATTAAAGTTGGCATGAATTGGAATTTTCATTTCATTTTTCTAAATGCATTGTGAACTACTCATTCATACATATTTACATTTTTGAGCTCGTAATTTTTAATCGAAATGTCATGAGTTGACCTTCTGGTCAAATGACACACTTCTCCAATCATTTTGTCCTCAAAACCCTGTCCTTTTCTTATAGTCAACTGTAGGCTCACATTCAGATCTGCCCACATCCAATCAACAACTGATTCATATGATATAACCAAGTCCCTGTCCTACATTTTCTGTTTTAATAATGGATATGCATCACAATACAGAAGAAAAGATCTGTTGCTACTTCCTTTACATCATGACTTTAAGGTATATAATAATTTTACATAAGGAACAGACCAAAATTCATGATAGAAGTAGCAAGAATCCTTCAAGTTGTGAACACCTTATTTGGAGCTTTTCAATGAATCAGTTGATTGAGTTCACAAAACCAGTCTGAATGAATCATTCAGTTATCGACTCACTGATACGGTCTTCAGTGGAACACAAAATATGATTTTTTGAAGAATATCCTGGCCAATTTTTAAATATAAGGAAAGTGAACGAGGACTGTAGCTGTTAAAATGTCAAAAACAGTGTTTTATGTATGATTTCTGCATTAAATTCCAATAATATTAAAAGTCAGCATGAAATGGAAGATCTTTTTAATGAACCTGTAGATTGAGTTCAGAAATCATTCACAAATCAATCAAACTCATTCATTCACTATCACATGACTTCAGAAGATGCAAACAAGCAGCTTTTATGATACCTTTATGATGGTTTTGCATCCTTTTTGTAGCTTTAAAACTCCAATCTCCATTCTTCAAAATGTCTGTTTGTGTTCCACAGAAAGTCAGTCAAACAGTTTCGGTTTGACATCAGGGTGAATAAATCTGAATTTGGAGTTGTACTTTTCCTATAAATACACTGCTTGAATGACTCTCATCATAATAAACCAAGTTTTACACTATTTGACAGATTTGACAGAATCAAAACTTCCAAATATTAGCACAGAGTGTTCTTCTCCCAGCTGTTGGAGTTGAGGTGATTTTACATTTAATGAGCATTTGGTATTCCATTATGACAAGTAAATGAAGCAACCTAGTTCATCCAGTGAGCAAAGGCTCATGTGTTACTCAACAGCTCAGTAAATTTTCTCACTATAATAGCATTTCGTTCAGCACATTTTCATTTTTATAGGGGACCGATCAGTGTGCCATTCCAGCAATGTTGGTCGGTTTGTCCTTGCCACCACACAATATGCTCACACCTGCAATATAAGTAAAGAACTAGTGACACCGCAGTCTTTCTGGACTGCTGCGGTGTGTACAATCTCTCATCATCAGCAAAACAGGGGGCGTCACTTATACCCACACTGTACATAAAATCCCACTTACTGACTCACATGTAAAAAAATGAAACATACAGTATGAGGCTTTCCAATTCCTTCAGAGAATCACATGAAGATAATAAGAGACTCGCTACAGTATGTGCCAGCTTGTTAGAACTTGTAAGGCACAATTTACTAGGCGGAATATGAGGAATGCGCGAGACGGTAATTAGACAGAATTGATTATATAAAGCATTAAGAAACCCAACTAGTTATTAAGACAGACTCGTCTAATAATCTAACAACCTTAGGGCAGCTGAAAGCAAAATCTAAAAACTGATCCTGAAAGTACATCCACTGACAACTGAGTAGCCAATCGCTAACACTGCCCTAAGGTCTATAAACCCTAAGGTCGAGGAATATATAATGTGACAAAATCAAATATTTAATCAAAAGACTTGGGCTGGCCTTAGATTACACAGTCTTATCTTTGCACTCGAATTAGTGGTGCTTGCTATTCCACATAATTTTTATATTTTCCACCCAAAATTTGACACATAACTCATCCAACACCATCTGTGATACTAACTGAATAATAGGTCTATTTGTGATTGTCTAAGAAGTGATTTGGACACATGGTTTCCACAAAACAAAACAAAACAAAACAAAACAAAGCAAAGCAAAGCAAAACAATTGAAGAACTGTATACAAATTTATAGCAATATTTTTAAAATACTATAGGTAGTAAAAAATAGTCAATTAATCTTGATTTATCACCAGTCTTTAGAAAATATTTACTGTAAAATATCTAATTATAAATAATAATAAAAAATGTTATACCCATTTTATATATAGCCTATACTGCATGTGTGTGTGTACATATACTGCAGATAGATGAAAACGGCACTCACATTTCTTCATAAAATGTAAAAATGTAGCATGTAAAAAATGTAATAATTGTATCTTGTCCCACTGAAAGCCAAACAAGAGGATCCCGATTACTTTACCTGACCTTAGACATTGTGAATCAGTGAAAATGATTATGAATAGAAACCTCCTTCACCCCTCCATCTGAAACAAGCCCCTCCAGACTCCAGAAGCTGGCTTGACTCTTCAAATACACTCTAATTACCCAGCAGAGTTATTGTATCTCAATAAATCAGCTTTTTTCCCCTTCTACCGCTCCTCTGGAATAAATTAGTTACAAAATAAATTAGTTGCCTGACATCGAGACGTCAACCTCTGGCCAGTTGGGGACTGCTGTCTCTTCAGGGCATGTGGATGTGTTTGAGGTGCTGTTCACATCCCCCTTTGCGCTGACTTATTTGTAGCCTGCATCCACTGATGTTCCCACCAGAGCAGAGAGAAAAATCAGGAACGGTTGCAGCTCAGAATTTCTCATTTGGATGAATTTCTGGAAACACGATGATGTAAAAGACCACACCCCCTTTTCTTTTCGTCTCAGACAGTAAATCAAATAAGAAACAGCAAGATGAGATGTACATGTCTGGGAGGTTATACGCTTGTGGACTTAATTGGATGAGATATATGAAGGCCTGTGAGAGATGTGGCTAGGAAAGCCATTTGAGCAACAGTAGCTGGTGTCTAGAGGAAGGCAAGGCGCTTTCCCCGCCATCTGCGCTTCAAACAATCATTCCTGTGAGATTTCAGGGCCAGATAAACATGACACTGTTTCAGAGCTGCTACAGAAAATCATTTCAATGAAACAGAGAATATAACACTTGTTTGGAGACCACATATACACATTATGATAAGAACAGCAGAACAAAAGTCCTTTTAAGGCCAGCTGGTTCACTCATAGGGATACAATAAGATAACTATGAGGCATACAATAAGTAGTTTGGCTAATATATTATAATAGAGCTCCCCAATACTGTGTATAAATGTTAATACGTTTCTTATTGATTTTTAAGATAATTTAACCTTTGTATAAAGCAAGGCTGTTTCAGGTTGTAAAATGTAATCTAGTTTATCTCCCAGAAATAGTAATACTATTATTAATTAATAATTTATGATATAAAAAACTGTTTAACTTGAAATATATCTTTAAAAACATTTTTGTAAAAATACATAAACCATTATTATATTATAAAAATATATACAGTATTGTTTAAAAAGTTTTTTTTTTTTTTTTTTTTTTTTAGTAAATCTCTTATGCTCACAAAATTTACATTTATTTGATTGGAAAAAAAAGAAATATTTTTACAATTTAAAATAACTGTTTTCAATTTTCAATATATTTTCAAATGTAATTTAATTTCATGGTAAAACGGCATTTTTAGCAGCCATTACAACAGTTTTGTGTCACATGATCCTTCAGAAATCATTTTAATATGCTGATTTGATAATAACAAATGTTCTTGAAAACCAATGTTGAAAACAAATATTAAACAACTTAATATTTTTGTGGAAACTACGAAACTTTTTTCCATAATATTTTGGAGAATATAAATTTTACAAGGATTTTTGTATGGAATAGAAATCTTTTGTTACATAAAAAATGTCTTTACTGTCACTTTGATCGATTTATTGCATCCTTGCTGAGTAAGTATTAATAAAAAAAATAAATAATAATAATTTTACTGAGCCCAAACTTTTGAATGGTAGTGTATATAAAATATTTTATAAAATCTATATTTCAAACTAGATTCATATCTATATTCAGATTAAACTAGATCATTCCATCATGCCATCTTGAGCGTTATGATTACTCACAGTCTGCTGTATAAATACTGGTATATCAGGCAACACTCTGTGAAGTAGCTGGAGGAGAAAAGGTCTTCATAATAAGCGTTGTATACACATTCACACAAATGCAATCATGAGTCTCAGCCCTGAAGTTTTCAGTCTCCTTTGAGCAGTGCTGGTGGATGATAAAAATGCTTGAATAGCTGTGTGAAACTAATCGCTGTGAAAAGTACAAGGGGATATGCTTTTGATTTGTACCTTTGGAAGGACATCAGATAGAACAAAAATCAGTTTTTGAAGCAATAAATCACATTAAACACAAATATTATCACCGAGCCATGGCATAATACAGATTTTTGCTCTCCAGTCAACACTATCACTATCTAAGGAAATGGAGGCAATTTATTGTGCTTAGTCATATGGCTACTGATCGGTTCTTTAGGTAACTTAATAACTCTAAGCAAATCCATCTGTTACAGCTAAAATGTTTTAGAGTTTTTGATGCTAAAATACTTTCTTCTTTCTTGTCTAACATGCGGGGAACATTAAAAAGAAAGAAAGAAAGAAAGAAAGAAGGAAAGGAAGGAATAGTCTTATTTAGCAAAGACACAATAAATTCAGAAAAAGTGACAAAAAATGTATCATGGTTTCCACAAAAATATTAAGCAGCGTAACTGTTGATAAGAAGAACATTGACAATATTAAGAAATGTTTATTGAGCTCCAAAGCATATTAGAATGACTTCTAAAGACTGGAGTAATGACTGCTGAAAATATTGCAAACTATCAAATATACTGTATTAATGTATTAGCGAGTATGAGAAAGGCGGATTAATTTTTTTAAATGTATTATTATCAAAATATGAAACAGTAATTTTAAATCATAATAATATTTCACAATATTACCGTTTTTACTGTATTTATGATCAAATAACTGCAGCCTTACCGAGAATAAATGTTTTTCAAAAACATTTAAAAATCTCCAACCTCAAACTTCTGAACATAGTGTATATAGACAATCAGTTGCATGGGACAATGGTCAATTATACAGTTTAGAATATTATACAAGAATATGTGACTGGGGTGGGCGATATGGCCAAAATCTTATATCACGATATGTGTCATTTTATTTTGCAGTAATGATATATATCACAACATAGTTATTTTTGCTTTTAATAAGGTCTTTATGAAATCAAAATTTTGATACCATAGGAATTTCATAATTCTTGTCACCAGTCTCAATATCACAAAAAACTAATACTAGCCTAAATATTAAAAAAAGCAGAAACCTCAAGTTCACTGAAGACAAGAAAACAGTCAGTGATTAAATAAGAATAGGAAACTAATTACAAGCAATAGGACAAAAAACAACAACACTAGAACAAATAAATAAGAAATGCTACATAGATTTTATAAAGTAATCAAATGTATAAAACACGGCATATTCTTTACTGTGTAAATTCAATATATATTTCTTCTTATTAAAGTTACAAAAGTGATTTATTCAAGAGCAGTGAGAGATTTTCTCTCATTTGTTGTTTGAATAACCTAAATGACAGACAGCAGGAATATTAGACTGCTGTCACTTTAAGAGCTGCCCAGATCCATTATACTGTTACACGTGTTTTCTTTCTCAGCTGTTTGCTTTCACTTAAGACCTAAAGTACTGTGGATACTGTGTAATGAGGATACTTGCAAAGACGGGCATTTTGACACGTACAAGTGTGTGTGTATTTAATAGTTCAAGGCCTATAAAGCGGCAAAAATAACTCTGTTCAATGCTCCTGCGCTCTCTGAGTGTCTTCATGTGCACGCGCCTCTCCGACAGTACTTAGAAACAATCTCTCAGACAGCATGCGCATATAGCGAAATTGGAACTCTTTAGCAATCAGAATAAAGTCCACTTCCAGACAGCTATACAATAAATTATCCTAATGAGGGTGCATTTATTTTTTTTCCCCATTTGGAATAAAAAACAACATAATAAAAGGGAAAAAATGAGCAGTCCGAGATTTTTTTATTATTTTTTTTACTGCACCACAAAATGGAAAAAGACAAAAGAAAAGAAAACATTAGCCAGTATTTGGCGCAGGTGTAAATAATGCGACCAGGGCAGCTGTAAACTGCTTCCTGACAACAGTGCTCCAATTAAAAAACAAATCTCACCCCAAATAAACTGGACAGTCTGATCTTTTCCACATGGACACATTCTCTTTGATTCTCATCAGCTATAAAAACAATGGTAGCCCTTTGAGAGCTCATTCTCACACAACCAAAAGCTGCCACATTTTTATCCTCAACAGAATTCCACCTAACCGCATACATATCCGCCCCGAGATGTTTTCGCAATGGCCGCATAATGCAAACGACTGCAAAACAGGAAGCCAAACACTGAAGCGTGTTAGGTGGTAACTGGACAGCTTGAGGCAGACACAAGCTGTCATATGTCAGAAACGTGGCAGGCTGGGTAACAGAACGACAACAGGGAAACAACTTGGGTGTTATTAGACAGAGCGGCGGAAGTTGGGACAGGGGATGACTGCGGGGGACTGACCTTGGAGCGAGGAGGGGCACGGATATACCACTTGCAGTCCACTGCCTCAGTCTGCAAGGCTTTGCCGTCTTTGGTGATCTGCTGCGATTCAATGATGCCTTCAGGTCCTCCCATCTCGAATTCACAAACTGCAGCGGAGGCGACAAAAGAAGACAAATTACGAAAAATGGAAAGCCATTAGATGTATTCATATGGAGGATGCTTATAGACGAATGAATAATACCCACAGGGAAGAGGTTTGGGGACTCCTACGTCTTTAAAGTCGGGATCTGAAAAAAAGAAATTAAATAGGATATAAAAACTGATTTCATTCAGATAACCAATATCCATAAATATTATGCTGTATTAGATCAACTGAACCATTCAACGTACAATTGACATGTACATTGAGAAGATATGTGAGCTGTTGTTTAATAGCCTCAATAAATATTTGAAATCTTGCTGTTGATGTTTCAAAAATAATGCAGTTTGCAGTTTGAAGTGCATTCTTTCAAAGTGGCATGAACAGGAAGGAAGCATTCAATAAACAGTATTCTCATTTCACTCTCTGCAGAGGCTTGTGAAAACATTTAGATGTGTTTGGCAAGCTGTCTGTAATGGAGGGGTTTGGGACCCACCTATGGAGAAAACTTTGAGAAGAAAAGATGACAGAAAGATTTAAAAGAAAATAGGAAAGTGTTTGTTTGTATTCCTTCATCACATTCATTGATTCTACCAAAGCTAATGAACATGCTTATCCCAAACTTTCATTTAGAATACTACAAAACTCCACATTATTCATCAGTATTCAATATCCATGAAATACTTTTAAGAATATAGTCATCTTCTTTTTCATTTTTGTGGTTCAAAAACTAATAATAGGTTCATTATCGCCACCTACTGGGCTGGAGTGTGAATCTTACTAAAAGAGTGCTGCAGGAATGAGTTCCAAAACACAGAAACAAGTAAGCATTTTAGCACTTCCAATTCCACCGTCCAAAAATCAATGGGTTTTGTAAATGGGTTTATGGTTAAATGCCTGAAATAAGGTCTGTGGCTCAAGATATTTTTTTACATTTTATTCTACAACATAAAATACATCAGTAATACCCTACTTATTACTCATCTACTTTTTTAAAGCTTTTATGTTTCTGGAAAAAGGTGGTTGTTAACAAGTGGATCAATGGGACTACAGAGGTTACTGAGGACATTAAATGTCATCATGCCAAACAGGTAAACTCATCTATTCGCCAGTTCTCTTTTAGAGCCTTGTTGTGTTTGTACTCACACTCATGCAAACTTAAACTTTCAGGGATTTATTTATTTTTATTTATTTATTTACCCTGAACAAAATTATAAACGCAACACTTTTGTTTTTGCCCCCATTTTTCATGAGCTGAACTCAAAGATCTAAGACTTTTTCTATGTACACAAAAGGCCTATTTCTCTCAAATATTGTTCACAAATCTGTCTAAATCTGTGTTAGTGAGCACTTCTCCTTTGCCGAGATAATCCATCCACCTCACAGGTGTGGCATATCAAGATGCTGATTAGACAGCATGATTATTGCACAGGTGTGCCTTAGGCTGGCCACAATAAAAGGCCACTCTAAAATGTGCAGTTTTACTGTATTGGGGGGTCCGGGGGGGTCCGAAAACCAGTCAGTATCTGGTGTGACCACCATTTGCCTCACGCAGTGCAACACATCTCCTTCGCATAGAGTTGATCAGGTTGTTGATTGTGGCCTGTGGAATGTTGGTCCACTCCTCTTCAATGGCTGTGCGAAGTTGCTGGATATTGGCAGGAACTGGAACACGCTGTCGTATACGCCGATCCAGAGCATCCCAAACATGCTCAATGGGTGACATGTCCGGTGAGTATGCTGGCCATGCAAGAACTGGGATGTTTTCAGCTTCCAGGAATTGTGTACAGATCCTTGCAACATGGGGCCGTGCATTATCATGCTGCAACATGAGGTGATGGTCGTGGATGAATGGCACAACAATGGGCCTCAGGATCTCGTCACGGTATCTCTGTGCATTCAAAATGCCATCAATAAAATGCACCTGTGTTCGTTGTCCATAACATACGCCTGCCCATACCATAACCCCACCGCCACCATGGGCCACTCGATCCACAACGTTGACATCAGCAAACCGCTCACCCACACGACGCCATACACGCTGTCTGCCATCTGCCCTGTACAGTGAAAACCGGGATTCATCCGTGAAGAGAACACCTCTCCAAAGTGCCAGACGCCATCGAATGTGAGCATTTGCCCACTCAAGTCGGTTATGACGACGAACTGCAGTCAGGTCGAGACCCCGATGAGGACGACGAGCATGCAGATGAGCTTCCCTGAGACGGTTTCTGACAGTTTGTGCTGAAATTCTTTGGTTATGCAAACCGATTGTTGCAGCAGCTGTCCGGGTGGCTGGTCTCAGACGATCTTGGAGGTGAAGATGCTGGATGTGGAGGTCCTGGGCTGGTGTGGTTACACGTGGTCTGCGGTTGTGAGGCTGGTTGGATGTACTGCCAAATTCTCTGAAACGCCTTTGGAGACGGCTTATGGTAGAGAAATTAACATTCAATTCACGGGCAACAGCTCTGGTGGACATTCCTGCAGTCGGCATGCCAATTGCACGCTCCCTCAAAACTTGTGACATCTGTGGCATTGTGCTGTGTGATAAAACTGCACATTTTAGAGTGGCCTTTTATTGTGGCCAGCCTAAGGCACACCTGTGCAATGATCATGCTGTCTAATCAGCATCTTGCTATGCCACACCTGTGAGGTGGATGGATTATCTCGGCAAAGGAGAAGTGCTCACTAACACAGAGACAGACAGATTTGTGAACAATATTTAAGAGAAATAGGCCTTTTGTGTACATAGAAAAATTCTTAGATCTTTGAGTTCAGCTCATGAAAAATGGGGGCAAAAACAAAAGTGTTGTGTTTATAATTTTGTTCAGTGTATTTATTAATCCAAAAGCCAATTGAAAAATCCTATTGGCTTTTTTATCAAGGGAACCAGAGTTGGCCTTCAACAATCAACAACATCACTGCTCCACAAAAAGCTCTACTTCAGCTAAATTGCATTGTTAATAACTGTTATCCTTAAATAACTTTAAAGAACATTTTAGACGTAAACCTGCTCTGAAGCATTAAGTAACAGTACATTCAATTAAATCTCCTCTGCACCTAATTGCTCTCAATTCTTCTCTGAATAGAATTCCTTCATTTTCAAATGCTCACAGTCTCTGGAGATCCACATTTATGCAAATACCAGACTCCATCCAACAATAGCGGCTAAGAGCAGAATACCTAATGTGCAAGATATTATTGCCTCCAACAATACAGTCTCATCTAGCCAAACTTTAAAAAATCATGGTCCTCATCACTGCAGCTTATTCTGATCAGATAATCATCCACTTAGACAAGGAAGAGATTGTCTGATTTACATGTAATGTGACCAATAACTCTTTTTGTTTGTTTAAGTACCATTTAAGAGTGTATTTCGCCATTATAATAAACTGGATCCATGAGCGTTGTAGAAAAATGAAAAGATCCATAGACTTTTGACCATCCAAAAATATTAAGTACTAATAATTTCACTGGCATATGTCTGAAGACAATAAAAAAAATGCTAGAGTCAATACAGATTTTCAGATTAAATGCAATATAATTCAGATTCAATAAGCATTCAATTAGAATCTGATTCAGTTTGTCCATGTTTGCTTGCATATGAAATAAACTGCTCTCTGCTAATGCAGTAAATTAAAAAGTACAGTTTATAACTGATTTAAAACTATTGAACTATTCATTCAAACAAAAGTCTACATTAGTCATGTTAAAACTGATTCACAACAAAAACTGCCATTTCTTTTGGTACAATAAATCAGTTCGGTGAACAGCCTGTGGGTTTGCTGTCTGCCAACATATTTTTAATGTCTCAGCCCTACTCTTCATCCTAACATAAATGAACATATTCTATCAGAAGCAGCTTTGTTCTACACAGAACTAATAAGTTTAATCACTCTCACCCCTCTATGATTAGATTGGCTTATATTTAGTATGGGTGATATTTCGCTCTGTGATCCCCCATTCACTCTGATATTCATACATGGACAGAGACGGTGGCATTTACAGAACTGAATCTCATTGAAGATGACTTCTCTTGGAAAAAACATACACATACATACATACAAACATGAGTCTGAACCCCTTCAGAGAGGATTGGATTGTACCTCAGTTACCTTTACAGGAGAGACTGATTGATTTGTGGATTGATCTGGTGTAAACGGCTGATTTATTTCTCTGTCATTTCACCCTCCTGTGAGCACTTATGTGGGTCACTGTGTGTGTGATCGCAGAGGACACCCATCACTATTATGACATATTCACTCCTATTTTGGAACACAGACACGTGGTTTCTGGCAGTATGAGACTGTAGGTTATGAAGCAAGACATTTAAGCTACACTTCTGTAGCATTACAAGTCAACTTATAATGTTATAATGTTTCTTAGAGCAAAAACAATTGCAATTTAGTTGCACGACCATTATATCATACCTTTAAGACTTCTTTATAAATGATCTCTGTTGTGATTGGCTAATCTTTGTGTGATTAGATTGGGGTCAAAGGGTCAAGGTATGGCTAGTTAGCATGCAAATTTATTGCAAAGGTTCTGTGCAACCTGTCTTTCTTTAACATTTCACACATTACACATGCTGCTCAACACCTACACTGAGAATTCAGATCAGACGTTGAACCAGCAGATGCGCTCAAGTAATGTAGGATGAAAAAAGAAGGAATGAGAAAGATTACATTACAGCACTAGGGTAGTGGTAGAAAGAGTGAGAACACACAAGAGAATCGAATAGCAAAAGAGATTCATTGGCAGAAATCAAATAAAATGGTTTATCAAAGAAGGGAATGGTGTGGAAACAGGACCTGGGTTCTGCCGTCTACATTATCACTATGTGGCCATATTCACACAGCAGAATGTTGTGTCATAGTGCAAAATCTAAAGGGAGTCACTTTAGTTGTCTAAATTTTCAGGAGTCACAACTGAATTTTGAGAGTGTATATTATACTGTAGCATAAAATCCATTTGCTGTAGTTAATTTGATGGCTTGAATGTCCTAGTCTGAAAAACATTTGAAAGGGGTCATGAACTGAGAAATCAAAATTCCTTTGATCTTTTGACATATAAGAAATTGTTGTGCTATAAAAACATCCTGTAAGTTTCAGAACTCAAAACTTTATTGTTAGTCTAAAAACAGCTTATATT